CCCTCTATTTCTCTCTATCTCTCTCCAGTGAGGTAAGTCCCTATAGCTGAAAACAAACAAAAACAAACAAAAAACTGCTTGATCATGAAATCGAGCATCAGATGAATAACAAGGCTGGCCTGAAAGGACAGGGATGCATATTGATCTCATTGACATGGAGCACTAAGATTCTGTATCGATGGATATGTAATATGTTTACTGTGTATGGATTTGGTTAAAGCAGGTTAATGCTAAAAATATGATAATATAAAAATCATAGCCATTTAAATCTGGAGCAGAGATATCTGTTCTAATGCAAGTGCACTAATTTCTTTAATAGGAGTCAATAAATATTGTCCAATATCCAATGGACATTGTCAACAACATTGTCCAGTGTTGATAAAGCAAGAACTAAAGGATTAAGTATTAATATTTTTTTATTTATTTTTATTTTTTGCTATAGGGCATGTGTGCTCACTGGAAAGAGACAGAGGAGAACATAAGAAATCACTCTCCAGGGGAGATGGTCATGCCACAATCCCTTCTTCTCCATCCTTTTAGGATTTGGGGCATACATGCACATGTGTCCAGCATAGTTTTTAAGCTTCTGGGTCCAGGACTTGAACTGCAGAGTGGACTGCACGGGATTCAGCCACCTTAACCTCCATGCCACCTGCTGGTCCACATAAAGTGTATATAAACTCTAATATCAAAGCATGAAAACCATCTCCCCAAAAATCTTATATATATGTATTTTTTAGTTTTTTTGCCATGGGGCATGTATGTCTGCTAAAAAGAGACAGTGAGAAGGAAAGTGAGAAATCACCCCCCAGGGGTAATGGCTATACTCCAGTCCCTTTACCTCCAGTCTCCTCTCAGAATTTTAAGCACATATATGCATGTGCCCAGCATGATTTTCAAACTGTCAGGTCCAGGATTTGAAACATGGTCGATCATGGGGGAATCCAGCACCTTTACCACCATGTCACCTCCTGGCCTCAACTTCCCCTTTCTTAATCCACTCAATTCAATTTGATTCAACAAATATTTATTAACACCTACTTTATTTTGCATTGGTGAAGAGAAAGGATAAAGATTTCTGCCAGTATGGGAGCTTACATTCTAGCATTTACTTTCCTTTGTCCTACGAGTACTCTAACTTGCCCTTGGGCAATTCCCTCCCTTTCATCCTGGCTTCATATTCTTGCTTTTTATTCTAGGTTTGGGATCTAGCCACCTTAACCACCATGCCACTGGCTGGCCCAAGTATATTATTTGAACTTAAAAATTTAAAAACCCCTTCCCCACAAAATATAACTTAAATCAAAACATAGAGAAGAAAAGATATGAGTAAATACTATGTGTATTCATTTTCCCATTTTCGTTGCAAGTAGTGCAGATAATCTAAAATTAAGAAATTAAAAAATCAAGACAAGTATGTGGAGTTATTAAGGTAACAACCAAAATGCCTACAAGTAGACTCTAGCCCTCCCATGTGACCAGAAGGAAGCCACACCTACACACCCTCCATATACCAAAATAGGATGAAAGAAGTTTAAGTCCACAAAAATCAGTTAATACAAATGGGATAAGTCACTACCAAAGCATCAAAACTGTCCAAAAATCCAATCATGGGCTTATTGTGAGAAGCACACCTAAAACAAAGTGACCTGAAAAGCCTCAAGGGAAAGGAGGCCTCTGTAAACACTGCCATGCCCAGAGCCTGGGCCCAAGAAGACCAGCTCAAGGATTTGAGGCAAACAGAACCACTTTCTAGAAGAGTTGGTCTACAAACATGGATTGAAGTGCCCTAATAAATGCTCTCAAATAGGTAGACCGAGGGTTCCAAGGAGCCAAGGCTCCTGAACAGAGGTGGCTGGGAGGAGGTATGCACCTCTCCCTCTCAGCAGGGCTCAGTGGGGTGTCCATGAGCTGAGAAAGGAAGGTGGGAGGACCCAGCAGAAAGGTGCCCTATCCTCTAGGGGTATGGGGGGCTTTACAAGAGCTTATTATATGTCCCCAAATGAAAAGGGTATGATCTCATCTTATAGGTCATCGAAAAAGTCATGATGTAGTATTATTCTGTTTTTCTATGCAAAATGTATCATGACTTTTCCAATGACCTATAAATGTGAGTCAATAAAACCAAGGAAGAGGGAGAGGAGAGGGAGGAGAGAAGGAAGATGGGGGAGTGGAGAAGAAAGAGTGAGGAGGGGGAGAGAAGAGTCTGGCCCATGAATTGGGACCTGGACTTCCTCGGAGAATATGGAACCTGCTCAGTCCCAGACATAGCCACCTTCCCACCTTCCCTGTGTCCACCTGACCCTCCCTGGGAGCCCAGCCCACCAGCCTGACGCGGTGCTCCTCCTCCAAGATGAACAGGTTCTCCTTGTCACAGTAGAAGGCAGCCGCATCCAGCAGGGCCTTCAGAGGCACCAGGCCCACCAGCTGAGAACCCACCACCGGGAGGCTGAGCTCCTGCCAAGGCACAGGCAGTATCAATACCAGGGCACCTGGCCTGCCCACCTGGGCAGGCCCACCCCTCTCAGGTCACAGGGCCACCACCCTGCTCACCTGTGCTTCTCTACAGGCCTCCTCATAGACTGTGTGCAGCCCTGTGACCTCGAAGTCCAGAAGGTTCGTAGACACCTGAGCCAGGTTCTTCTCATCCAGGTACCAGCCAATGCCCTGGACCTTTTTCAGACGTCCTGGCTGCCAAGGAAAACATTTCTCAGGCTGGGCAAAGAAGCCCCTCCTGAAGCCTGGTGTTCAGAGTACTGTGTCCCCCATCCCTCAGCCAAGGTGGCCTGCACCATTGAAAATGTGGACAACAGACTCTGTGACTCTCAGTCAGCAGTCAGCACTGTGGCACTCCTCACTCTCCCTGCTCACCTGAGTTGGCCAGAGAGGGGCAGAGAGAAGCACTGCCCACCTCAGGGAAACTGAGGGCCCAAGAGTCAGGTATCAATATGCCTACCTTGCCTCTTAGCCAGCCTTCTCCCACCCCTGTGTCCTGGGGGCCAGGGGGACAGTGAAATGTGGAGGTCTTGATCTTCCATTCCATCCCCTCCAGTCTCACTCACTTGCCCAGTGGCCACTCTCAGACCCCCATTCTTGGGATGACCAAGTCCACGTGAAGAAGGGACCCCAGTCTCTGCCTTCAGCCAGGGCACAAAGGACTTAGAAGTCACCATGATTTTTATGGCAGTTTCCTGCAGATACCCCACAAACATTCAAGTGCCCCAGGTATTTTGGGATCCCCCAGGTACCCCCATGTGTTTATGCTTATGAACAACTGAATCTGCAGGGTGGTGGGAAGCTGGAGCTCAGATTCCTAGTGGGACTGGGTCTCTGGGATGAGAGTGGATGAGCAGGGGGCTCCCACCCTGCACTAGGGTCTCCACATCATCCATGTCTGACCCAGACTTCCTAGAACAACTGGATCTGCAGGGTGGTGGGAAGCTGGTTCTCAGAGCTCAGATTCCTAGTGGGACTGGGTCTCTGGGATGAGAGTGGATGAGCAGGGGGCTCCCACCCTGCACTAGGGTCTCCACATCATCCATGTCTGACCCAGACTTCCTACAGGGGTGATGCACAAGCCAGATGGCAGCCTCTCAGCAGGCCTTGGGAGACCACCAGGGGTCACTAGGGACCACCGGGGGTTCCTGGACAGGAACCTGGGGAGTACCTGGGGACACCTGAGAACACCTGGGGAGGTACCTGAGGGGGGCCTGGGAGGACACTTTAGGACATCTGAGGGTACATGAGAATGCCCAGAGGTACCTGGGGTGCCTGAGAGGACGCCCAAGGTTACCTGAGGAGAATTCCTGAGATATCCAGGGGCACCTGGGTTTCTTAAGTTTTGGGTAGTGTCTGCAGGAGCCTGAAGCATCTGGAGGTCTGTGAGGACATGCACTGTGGATGCCTGGTCTTTCCCATCAGTGTGGAAATGCTGGGCCCTTTGACTTCAGAAATACCCTACCTGCTTCCATGGAGTACTTCCTTTAAAGCATCACTTCCAGCATACAAGCCTTAGAACTGCCTGGTATCAAGTAGCCCAGACACTGAGGTTGGGCTATCATCAGGCTAGAGCTCCATCAGGCAGTGCCTGACCCCAAGCAGCCTGGTCCACGCTGAGAGTCCATCAATGACCACCCAACCCATCCCAGGCCTCTTACTCCCTGCACTGGCCCCTCAAGGTGTCTCAAGATTCATGGCGGTTCACCTGGTCCTTCCCACGGCCCTGCTCCCGTAGGTTGAGGGCAATGCGGTGGGCCTGCTCCTTGGTGCTGAGCAGGTTGATATTGAAGGCGATGAGGAACTTCCGTGCCCCCGTGACTGTGGCCCCCCATTGGGGAACAAAGGAGCTGGGGCCAAAGTCAGGCATCCACTCGGTCTGCCGGAGCTGCAAGAGAGCCGCTATAAGGGAAATGTTCCCTCAGGAGCACTGCAGGAGAAGGGGGTAAGCTCCCACCTCCTCCCTAAACCCGACCACCCATTGTCGGGGGTACCTTCTCAGGAAGTGCTTCATATTCCCCGGCCCGAATGGCTGGCAGGGTCCGGCGACTGTCTGTGCGTGCTGCCTCGCCATAGAGGTACACTGCAAGGGGAGCCAAATAGTCAGGCCTTGGCTAGTGGAGGCCCAGGACCTTTGGGGCACAGCTGGCTGGAGAGCATCTCCTCCTCCGTGGCACAGAGGACAAGAGTGGGTGGTCACTGATGGACACTTAGTGTGGGTCAAATCCCCTGGCCTCTGCACAGATAGGCTTGGAAAAGCTGTGATTATGAGGGTTAGGAATAAACGTGTGAGAACTGCTAATCAAGGAGTGTTCATGGTTTTTTAAACTTGTTTTCATTGTATGGTAGATACAGCCACGAATGAAGGAACAGAGAACAGAAATGAAAGCTTACGCTGAACCCCAGCACCTACATGGCCTAAGGTCCCTGTGCGCACATTACCCTGCACTTACATAGTGGCAACCCCATGACGGATTTCACCCTGAGAGGCTGGGAGGGGCTGCTCCTCCTGTGACCTGCTGAGCAGTCCCACCCCCAAAGGACATACACTAGATCCCTAATTTGTCTCTACTTACCTTGCTTTGATTAATTCCGCACTGTGAAATTATTCTGTTTTAAAGGTGTGGATTTCCTAAAGCTCTTGATTCATCATGCTTAACTGCTTTACACTGAATGACCACCCAGCAGTGCAATGTGGGTCCCCTTGTCATTAGCAGCTGAGGCTGTGCTCTGAGGTTCTGTCTGCATTTACTCCATTAGATGGAGACACTAAGGATCCCCTGCATGTTGGTTTGCTCTCAGCAGCTTTTCCTAATAATCTGCACTTTTGAGAGATGGTTCCAGGGTGGCAAACCCACAGTGCGACTGGGGCGAAGTGAGGCAGGCCGTTGGGGGGACTCACCTGGCACATCCAGCTCCTCTGCCAGCCGTTGGCCGAAGGCCTGGGCACAGAGCACACACTCGTCCATGCCAACGCCCCGCACAGGAATGAAGGGACACACGTCCAGGGCGCCCATGCGAGGGTGTTCCCCTGCAGAAAGAGGGCCCACCCGTAGGCTGAGGTATGGTTATGCTGGGAGCCCAAAGGGGGCTCTCTCAAACCCTCTATCCTTTCTGGTCCCAACCTGACAAGCCCCCAATTCACACAGCCAGCTGTTCTCACTGACCACTGGGGGAAGGCAGCCTGGCACCCCCTTCCCAGGCAGCAGCATTGCTCTTGGGGACATGGCATGCCCTGGGGACATTGGGGACCATCCTCTTGGTTCAGCCAGCATGAGGGAGGTCTTAATATCCAGAGAAGCAGCCTGTAGTTCAGCATCTTCAGGGTAAACCTTTGCCTTCCCAAAAGCTACAAAGTAGCTCCCAAGGACTCTGAGAGAGTCCTGGCCAGGCTGAAAGTGGGCAGTCCTGGCTAGACTGGGCCTGTAGCCCTCCTTCCTCCCCTGGGGGCAAAGAATCCTGTGTCCCCTGCTGTGCTCTGAGCTGTGGCTCTGCAGTCCCTTCCCCAGTCCCCTGCATGCCTCACATTTGCCCAGCAAAGAGCACTTTGATATAAGCCTCCTGTCTGTTTGCCATTTGGGATAACGTGGGACCTTCCCCCATTGTGAATGCAGTCTTGGCCTTTGGACTGGCTCCTGGTGTCCACCAACCTTTGCCCTTGCTGCCACAGCCACATATTTGTTTTTGAGGGCTGTTGACAGGTCGGTTTCCAGCTTATCTCCTACCCTCGCCTCCCCCAGGGCTGCTCAGAGAGAGGGCAGGTGGGAACTCCTAAACATGGGCTGTGGGAGCCCACACACCTTCACGTACAGTTTCCTAGGGCTACATTCCAAGGACCTCCCGTTTCTCCCTCCCCCAGGCAGCTGTGCCTTCATGACTCCAAGGGTCCTCCAAGGTGAAACCCACCCACCAGCTCTGTCAGACCCCATGCCCCAGGCCTGCTCCCAGTACACCTGTAGACATGAGGCCCCTTGGAGCCCCTACTCACAGTCGCACCTTTGTGTTTGCTCATGTCGATGAGCCCAAAGGCCACCCGGGCAGCACTGAGGGCCCCCTCTACCACATGCTCTGGTCGCCCCACGAAGGTGTAGACAGTGCGGTTGGTGGAGGGGCCAGCATCCACGTCCAGCAGCACGCAGCCCGGGGTCTGTGTTATGGCTCGGGAGATGGCATCGATCACCTGAGGATAAGCCCAGCCCATGCCATGTCTCAGTTTCCCCATTTAAAATAGGAGAGCCCAGGAGGAGGTGCTAAGCACTGGACACTCCCTGGGAGACATCATCACATGTGGTCACTGCAGAGCCAAGAATGGGGCCCAGACAGAGGGGCAACAAACGGAACTCTCCACAGGCACAGCACCTGGTGGGGAATCCACTGAAGGAGACCCCTGCCCATCATCAGAGTGTCAGGGCCCCACCCACCTTTCGGGGGCAGCTTCTACAACAGGGAGAGGGGTGGAGAGTGATCATGGGGGAGAGATCTGAAAGGCCTGGAACCTTCTAAGGAAGCAGGCTAAGAACAGGGGTTCAGGGCCCAGGTGGCCTGCATGACCCCTCTGTGACTTGGTTTCCTTATACATTCAGTGGGGATGATGACAGCAGGGAGGCACCTATGGATGGCCTTGTATGTGGGTCTCAAACAGTCTTTTGGGTCCTTGAAGGACCCAATTTCAAAGGAGAGCACCACTGAGGCCCATTAAGGCAACTGATCTACCCAGTTCTCTACCCAGAAGCACCCAGAAGACTGAGACCATGGCAAGGTTGCTGCTCCCCCTCCACAAGTCCCCCCTGTCCACATCCTTGTGGTTTTGCCCATCCTGAGAAATCAACCCCTTGCCCACACACCAAGCACACAGCCCCTCAATCATCAGGCAGCCCCTTACCTCCTGGTTGTTTCCCTCTGAGAAGTTGGGGACACACTCCACCAGCTGGGACATGCCAGCTCCTGGATCTGGATACTCTCAGTGAGCAGAGAGAGGGAAAAGAATGGCACAGTCCAGCAACCAGCGGGGCCTTTGTGTGCCTGGAAGCACCCGCCCCTCAGCAGCTTCTCATTAACCAGCAAGTCTCAGCAAGGAGGTTATGCTGGCTGTCCCTGAACAAACTCAGAGCTGCACAGAGCCAGGAACTGTCGACCAGGAATGGACAGGCTCCCCTAGAAATAGGCCTGTGACCAGACCATAGGGTACATTCTGAAGACCCTTGGAGGCCTTGGAGGAGTGAAAGCCAGCCAGCAATGGACAGACTCCCCTAGGGAGTGACCAGAGCCTGTGACCAGACCATAGGGTACATTCTGAAGACCCTTGGAGGCCTTGGAGGAGTGAAAGCCAGCCAGCCAGCCAGGGCTCAAGTTCCAGCTCGACCCAGGGCCACCTGGGCCCCTGTGTTGCCCTCTGGATGGTCTTCCAGTGACCCTCTGGTGGGCCTCTGGGTGGGCCCCACAGAGGTCAGCTCAGCTCAGACTGGCAGTATATCATGTGGGGGGGCAGGTGTTACTGAAGTCCTGTATTCATGGTCAAACCCCAATGCAAGCCCAGGGAAGTCACCTGTCAGGTGAAAGACAGGGTCGGGGACTCCAGCAGCAGCTGTGCTGGGCCAGGGCCAAAGCGAGCACAGGGCCTGATGGACACCAGCACCAACTCTGGAGTCAGTGCTGAGACATTAATAGGTTGGGCGTGTCCAATAAATAGCTCCTAAGTAGGGTGCCCTAGAAGGATCCACCATTTATAGGAAACAGGATCTTAGCAGGTTCTAGTAACAATTTCCACACAGGGACCAGGGTCCCAACTCCAGGACTAGGCAGAAAACACAAAGGTGAGCCCCAAGCACTGGTGGGACAAAAAGTCGGGAGGTACTTGGCAAACCCTCACAACCAAGCCCACAATGACAGGGTATGTAAGAGGGATACAGAGCCTACCAGGAGCCCGGAGCTAGAACATTCTGAGCTACAAAAGCAACAAAGTAGCATCAGCTTGTAACCCAGGTCGCAAAGCAAGCAGCCATAAAACCAGATGTCACTGACTGATGGAGGAGAGAGGGGCCAATCACCGTGCATGAGAATTCGAAATAGTTCATGTAGACGCAGTCCTTGGGCAGGTGGGGTATGACCCCTGCTGCAGCACCCAGCAGGCAGGTGTTGCCTTACAGAAGCTCACTACCCTCTCATCTACAGATGGGGGCACCGAGGATCCAAAGCTGAGTGTGGCCCCCAGGGATATGGCCACCATGGACCCTCTTCACTGCTTTCCCATTGCCTCTTTCGTGTATAGCATGGTTAAGAAAAAAGGCAGAGTTGGGCATAGTCCCCTCCAAGAGAGACCTCCATAGGGTCCATGTGCACTGCAGCCTGGGAACAGCACTGCAGACAGGGCCTGCCACTGACCACTGCACCACCTTCCCAGCCTGGCCCTTCTATGGAGGGGATGGATGGAGAGTAAGCATCATCCCAGCCAGAGCCCAGGGGCCACTCAGAGCAGAGCTTCACAGTCCCAAGGGCCCCATGACCATCTTGGGGAGCCATGGCAAAGGTTGCTCTGCCTACCTGGCTGCCCTTCAGCATGTTTCTTATTTTCTATTTCTTCTGTTACGTCAGCAGCTTTGGGGGCTTGCTGGGTAGGGAGAGACCACCCCCTGGGACTAGTTAATTTTCAGAGGCTGCTTCCCTAGAGCAGAGAATGTCTCTGAGAAGCAAGCCAACCAGTCCAGGTCCAGAGCCCCAATCACCCCTTTATCCTACTCTCACTCTCTGAGCCAATATTCTCCTACTATGGTTGAATAATGGTTCATCCCCCAAAGAATCATGAATTTGGAATTGTGTCCCCAGTGTAAGGGAGTTGGGAGGTGGTGAGGTCTTTAAGATGTAAGGCCTAGTGGGTGGGGCTCGGTATTATAGAGCATTGCCCTCATGAATGGATTGTCTGTGCAAAGGGCTGGGGTGAGCCAGGAAGACCCACCTTTAGGCTGGGAGAGGCCTCGTTTCCTCCTAAAGATGCCTAATGCCATGTCATCCCATGTCTTCGGAATTGGGTGTCCCTGCAGCCCTCAGCCACCAGATTCACCAGAGCCTCTGTCCTCCAGCTAACTGGGGCTGGTTCTGACAACAGGGGCATGCTTGTGCAGGGAGGTGCCCAGTGGGGGGCACCCCTTGATGGACAGACTCCCCAGCTCTTCTGCCCCTCAGGAATGATTCTGTGGTGCTCTCCACATGCTTGGTCCTGGGTCCTGGTGCTACCCTGACAAATGACATGTCACATCCTGGCCCCCTCCCTGTACTGTCCTTGTATCTTCAAATCGGTTCCCAAGTGCACCACCTACCAGAGTGACTTCCAGCAACATGGGCAGTGCATGACGCTGTGTAGTGTGGCCCTAAAGTCCTTCGCTTTTTAACAAGGCTGTTTCCATTCTGCTCAGGGCCCTGTAGCCATCCTGCCCACTCCTGAATCCTTACCTCAAGTTCTGCATTTGAGGACACCTAACTAGGTCAGGACCAGTTGGTCCTTTCAAGGAGGGACCGAGACTGAAGCTCTCTGGCAGGGAAGTCAGGTGGGCACAGAGCTCCTGAGGTTGGGGGCCTGACTTCTGATTTCTTTCTGCAGCTTCATGCCATGAATGAATGGGCACCTCCTGCACGCCCAGCAGTCAGGTGCTCACTCGCCACCCCTCAAAGAGCCAGAGGTAAAGTAACAGGTAAACAGATGATTTTAATAAAGTGTGACAAGTACTGTGCAGCTGTGGGTGGCCGGGTGCCTCGGGCCGGCCCAGTCCTGAGAGGTGCCCGCTGGGGCTGTCTGCGCCCTGGGCAGACCCCGTCCTGCCCCCTGAAGGGGGCAGGTACACGCAGGAGGCACTGTGGCCCCCGGGTTTGGAACAAACACGTTTATTGTAGGACAGGCAGCGGGCGCTAGGCGCTCACCAGGCAAAGAGCGGCTTGCTGTCCTCCTTGGAGAGTTCGCACAGGCAGTTGAGCAGCAGCAGTGAGTCCCCCAGGAACTTGGGGGGTACCACGTCGATGACTAGCTTGCGCAGAGCAGCGGGGCTACTGTGCAGCGGGTTGGCGCGCAGGTCGGGCCGCTGCTTCAGGATGCCATAGGTATTGATGAGGAACTCGCTGAACACTGGGTGCACCTCACGGTTGTAGCCCAGCTTCTCCAGCCGCGCCGTCAGTGTCAAGTAGCGGTGTGTCAGCTCGCGCAGCTTCTTTTCGTCCACCGAGCCATCCAGGGACTTGACAGAGGTCTGGGGACACAATGTAGCTCAGTGGAATTACCAGCCACCCTGCCAACCCATGCCACAAGCCGGGAGCCAGTGCCAGACCCCTCTAAAGGCCCAGGTGCCATGGCAGACACAACAGCAGGAGTGCTCACAGCGGGGTTCCTGCCCCAACCGGTGCATGGACTGCCTCAGGGAACCCAGGTGGGATATAGGTTTGAGAGCCAGAAGAGAACCGCTGTCCCACCCCTAGGCAGCGAGGGCGCACCTGCTTGATCTTCTCAGGGATGTTGGACACAGTGAAGCCATAGAGCCGTGTCACGCCCGGGAAGACATATGCCAGGATACGCCGGTCCAGCTGGAAGGCTATTTCGCCGACAATACGGCCATCCTTCTCTGCACCTGCGAAGCTCTGGATCTCTGCGGGGAGTTGGAGGGGTGTGAGGCCCTCCCAGCCAGCTCTGGGTTCTAGTCGGTCCCTCCCCTCCTCCCAGAGTAAATACAAATCTAAAAGAAAACAGAATTTTGGGTGTCATGAGGAGAAACTTTTTTCCCTTCTCCCTCCCTGTTCTTAGAGGTTTCTCTGTAGCTCCTCTCTTCCATGGAACCTCCAGGGCTAAGCCAGAGGCCTGTTTTACAGCAAGGACTTCCTCTGGTCTGTCACTGGAAGAGGAGGTGTCCCTCAGGGCCTGGCCCAAGGTCTGACTCTGCTGGTCACAGAGGCACCCAGTCTACCACCAGGGGAGTTCAAGATGGGCTGGTGTGTCCTCTCTGTAATGGCCCCGTGAGCCTGGCTGGAAGACTGAATCTGTATCAGAAACCTCTGGGCATCTCAGCTGGTTAAATACTTACTCAATAATAAAGTGGCTTCTTTTTTTTTTTCCTACATAAGTAAAAAAGATTACTAGGTTGACAGGAGATCCTATTTTTAATTATTTCCCTAGCATCAGTAGGGACACTCTGACACCCTCCCCCAAATCCCACATCCAAATTCCCCTTCCCATGTTCAGCCCCTGATGTCAGAGTCATTCATTCAGCTATGCAATGTGCAGCAATACTCTTCAAATCCATGTGCTCTTTGGAAAACAAGATGCATCTGAATTTGAGATACCAAGGTGAGAAAACACTTGCCATCGAGTCAGTAAAATGCTCCCTCAATTTCCACACAACCCCTGCCTACTGGGCTGTGCTCTGTAGGGTGGAAGACTGGGATGAACTGCCAGCCCCACCCCCACCCTCTCTGTCCACCTAACTCCCACCTGAACCAACCCTGCCGAGGAATTTCATAGAGCACAAGAAGGCCCCACGGCAAGGCACCTGCTCCCAGGCTTATACCTCTCAGCTGTGAGCATGGCCACTCAGAACTTGCAAGTTCTATTCTTTCACTCCTAATGTGGGATACATTTATAGCATGTTTGTTTCTAAAACCTTTCCTAAAGCCCCAAACTTTTCTAAGTACGATCCACGGTCTAGACCCTCCCACTGTGTCAGCTGGGGAGGATCCCACTAGGTATGAGCAGAAATGCAGCAGTTTGTGGACAAGCAGGTTGTTGGCCCCAGGCACTCTGTGTACAGACACCTGTGCCCTCCTGAAGAATCTTGACACCCAACACACTGGACATGTCACACCACACAGAGGTTGGTTCTGAGCCTTCTCCTCCTCGCCCCCTGGTGCTCCAATCCTTCTCAATTATGTTCTGTGGCATTATAGAGACGCTGGGCTGCTCCAGATCAGGTCTGACACCTGGAACCTCTCCTGGTCACCTATATAAGGGGCCAGACTCCAAGATTGCTCTGTCCCAGACCTTGGTCGGCTGCTCTTATCTCCCTCAGCCCCATCACCTTCTGTGGAAAGTTGCTCACCTCTGGACAAGCGTTTGTCGATCAGGTTTCAGATCCCATGCAAGGGACCGTGATCCACAGTGACCATGACATCCCATCCCCGCAGCAAATGAGTATGGACAGCTATATGTGAATAGCTCCTATCCTGTCCTATCCTATCCTGTCCTATCCTGTCCTGTCCTATCCTATCCTATCCGGTCCTGTCCTGTCCTGTCCAAGGTGGAACTTGGACCAACAGGAGGAATGGTTGTCCATACGGGCACACAGCATGGGAGATGGGTTCCACCCCATCATCCAGCAAGGCACTTGAACACAGGGTTGGCCAGCACATCCCTTGGAGAACCAGCGCTTTCCAAAGTCAGATGATCTACATCAGCATTTCCCAAAGTGTGCTCTAGTGAGCACTGCCCCACCCAGACGGTAGAGAAGCAGGGCACTCTTTAGGGTCAGGATGACAGTCCCTGCTCTCCTGCAGGCTTCTAGCACTCTGGATGGCACAGTCCGCAGAGCTGCTTCTCCCCAGCATCTTCTTGCTATAGAAAACAACAGGGGCTATGATCCAGCTAGAGATGAGTGACCTCTGGCATTCTCTGTGACTTTGGCTGCTTCCAGACAAAGAGGTAGGGAGGTTCCTCCAGTGAAATTCCACCTGAAATCTTCAGCAACTTCCCTGGGAACCACCCAGAGGATGATGTCTAAGCACCAAATCTAGGTCACTGTGTGCATCTTCAGGCCCTTAACTTACTTGGTTCATCCTCGGTGACTCTCAGAGGAGAGCTGGGGCCCCATTACAGATGTGGTAAATTGAGGCATGGGGGAAGGCTGCTTCCCAGTCACTTGAACATTTCTTATTAGAATGTAATTCACATACTGTAAAGTTTACCCTCTTTTTCTTTTCTTTTTTTTTTTTTTTTTGGAAAGGTTTTTGCTATAGAGCGTGTGCGCTCACCAGAAAGACAGAGAGAGAGACAGAGAGACAGATTCTCCTCTCGGGATCTTGGGCATGCACACACACATGCCTGCAGTGAGTTTAAGCCACCAGGTTTGGGACTTGAACTGCAGTTGATCACATGGGAGTCCAGAGACATAGCCATTACGCCAACTGCTGGTCTCAAGTTTACCCTCTTAAAGTAGGCAATTCAGTGGCTCTCACTAATTCCAGAACCTTTTTATCACCAAACAAACCTCCTACATAAGTAAAAAAGATTACTAGGTTGACAGGAGATCCTATTTTTAATTATTTCCCTAGCATCAGTAGGGACACTCTGACACCCTCCCCCAAATCCCACATCCAAATTCCCCTTCCCATGTTCAGCCCCTGATGTCAGAGTCATTCATTCAGCTATGCAATGTTAAGCAATACTCTTCAAATCCATGTGCTCTTTGGAAAACAAGATGCATCTGAATTTGAGATATCAAGGTGAGAAAACACTTGCCATCGAGTCAGTAAAATGCTCCCTCAATTTCCACACAACCCCTGCCTACTGGGCTGTGCTCTGTAGGGTGGAAGACTGGGATGAACTGCCAGCCCCACCCCCACCCTCTCTGTCCACCTAACTCCCACCTGAACCAACCCTGCCGAGGAATTTCATCGAGCACAAGAAGGCCCCACGGCAAGGCACCTGCTCCCAGGCTTATACCTCTCAGCTGTGAGCATGGCCACTCAGAACTTGCAAGTTCTATTCTTTCACTCCTAATGTGGGATACATTTATAGCATGTTTGTTTCTAAAACCTTTCCTAAATTTTTACCTTGTTTGTTTCTAAAACCTTTCCTAAAGCCCCAAACTTTTCTAAGTACGATCCACGGTCTAGACCCTCCCACTGTGTCAGCTGGGGAGGATCCCACTAGGTATGAGCAGAAATGCAGCAGTTTGTGGACAAGCAGGTTGTTGGCCCCAGGCACTCTGTGTACAGACACCTGTGCCCTCCTGAAGAATCTTGACACCCAACACACTGGACATGTCACACCACACAGAGGTTGGTTCTGAGCCTTCTCCTCCTCGCCCCCTGGTGCTCCAATCCTTCTCAATTATGTTCTGTGGCATTATAGAGTCGCTGGGCTGCTCCAGATCAGGTCTGACACCTAGAACCTCTCCTGGTCACCTATATAAGGGGCCAGACTCCAAGATTGCTCTGTCCCAGACCTTGGTCGGCTGCTCTTATCTCCCTCAGCCCCATCACCTTCTATGGAAAGTTGCTCACCTCTGGACAAGCGTTTGTCCATCGGGTTTCAGATCCCATGCAAGGGACCGTGATCCACAGTGACCATGACATCCCATCCCCGCAGCAAATGAGTATGGACAGCTATATGTGAATAGCTCCTATCCTGTCCTATCCTATCCTGTCCTATCCTGTCCTGTCCTATCCTATCCTATCCTATCCGGTATCCCAAGAGCCTGTCCAAGGTGGAACTTGGACCAACAGGAGGAATGGTTGTCCATACGGGCACACAGCATGGGAGATGGGTTCCACCCCATCATCCAGCAAGGCACTTGAACACAGGGTTGGCCAGCACATCCCTTGGAGAACCAGCGCTTTCCAAAGTCAGATGATCTACATCAGCATTTCCCAAAGTGTGCTCTAGTGAGCACTGCCCCACCCAGACGGTAGAGAAGCAGGGCACTCTTTAGGGTCAGGATGACAGTCCCTGCTCTCCTGCAGGCTTCTAGCACTCTGGATGGCACAGTCCGCAGAGCTGCTTCTCCCCAGCATCTTCTTGCTATAGAAAACAACAGGGGCTATGATCCAGCTAGAGATGAGTGACCTCTGGCATTCTCTGTGACTTTGGCTGCTTCCAGACAAAGAGGTAGGGAGGTTCCTCCAGTGAAATTCCACCTGAAATCTTCAGCAACTTCCCTGGGAACCACCCAGAGGATGATGTCCAAGCACCAAACCTAGGTCACTGTGTGCATCTTCAGGCCCTTAACTTACTTGGTTCATCCTCGGTGACTCTCAGAGGAGAGCTGGGGCCCCATTACAGATGTGGTAAATTGAGGCATGGGGGAAGGCTGCTTCCCAGTCACTTGAACATTTCTTATTAGAATGTAATTCACATACTGTAAAGTTTACCCTCTTTTTCTTTTCTTTTTTTTTTTTTTTTTTTGGAAGGTTTTTTCTTAAGAGTGAAATCTTCAGCAACTTCCCTGGGAACCACCCAGAGGATGATGTCCAAGCACCAAACCTAGGTCACTGTGTGCATCTTCAGGCCCTTAACTTACTTGGTTCATCCTCGGTGACTCTCAGAGGAGAGCTGGGGCCCCATTACAGATGTGGTAAATTGAGGCATGGGGGAAGGCTGCTTCCCAGTCACTTCAACATTTCTTATTAGAATGTAATTCACATACTGTAAAGTTTACCCTCTTTTTCTTTTCTTTTTTTTGGAAAGGTTTTTGCTATAGAGCGTGTGCGCTCACCAGAAAGACAGAGAGAGAGACAGAGAGACAGATTCTCCTCTCGGGATCTTGGGCATGCACACACACATGCCTGCAGTGAGTTTAAGCCACCAGGTTTGGGACTTGAACTGCAGTTGATCACATGGGAGTCCAGAGACATAGCCATTACGCCAACTGCTGGTCTC